CTTTCATGATTGCAGGGGGACAGCTGCCGTGTCGCCATGGGTTGCAGGGAAACTTCTGCTTGGGCACCTTCTTCCCCTTCTTCCTCACCAACCACCAGCACCTCTCTCCTTCTCCAGCACAGCTCTTCTACCTTAAGTGCTCAGGGTGTTATCTTATTTTGTATGTTAATAGCAGAGGTACATCTATTGTCCCTCTAATGGCTCCTTGGCTGGCTTTGGAGCAGGGGGAGCTTCTCAGCTTCTTACTGGATCCACTCCTGGGGCCCTTCCCTGTTACCAAAAAAACCACCAAACCAAACCAGAACAAGCTGCATCAGGGGAAGTATGGATTGAACATTAGGAAAGGTTCTTCATGGGGAGGGTGGCTGGTCACTGGAACAGACTCCCCAAGAAAGAGGTCATGACACCAAGCCCATCAGAGTTCAAGAAGTGCCTGGATGATTCTCTTAGTCATATAGTTTTGTTTTAGGTGATCCTGTTAGGGGCAGGGAGTTGGACTTGGTGATTCTTCTGGGTCCTTCCAAGTTAGGATACTCTATGATTCAATGTTTTACCTTTCACTTTTCAGTAAAATGTTTTTTAAGCTTGTCTGCTAATATGAAAATCTGTCATATTAAAAAAAGCAAAGCCCCACAACTTACAGACTGTCAGTACTTACTTATTTCAGTCTAAAAATTATATTGTCTTGTCAGTCATCTGACTAGGAGCTCGAAACTTACGAGCTTGTTGTAAAAGCATTTTTCTACTCTGTCCATTTCTTTTAAAAAACAATGTTAAAACTGAAGCAGTTAGTGAAATTCTATTGACTTTTTTGACATGTCTTGCAACAAGGAAAAAGTAGTGTTTACAGCACTGAAAAGTGCAATGAATGTGAACAGCATATTATTTTAGAAGCAAAGAATGTTGCCTTTCTAACTTTATAATAATATTCTACCTCTATAATTGTTTTCTGGTGTTCTGTAATACATACTTTTCCACTTGCTATTATGTGTTTAGAATTCAGACCAGCTCTTAAATACTAGTTTTCTTTCTTCTGCTTTGCAGGGGCACTCATTTCAGCAGTTCAAGAAGACATTGAAGAGGCAAAAAGACATCTGGATTTACCAGAACATCTTAAACTCAAAGAAGACAATTTCTTTCATCTGCCAGAAAGCAAAAGAGGAAACCACTAAGCAAAAAACCATATGGTTTTTTTTTAATCTCCTGGAGCTTTTTTCTTTGTAATACCAAGTGTCATGTATCATTTGATATATAATGTATGTGTATGTACTGGGTCTGGCTGGGATGGAGTTAATTTTATTTATAGCAGCTCATATGCTGCTGCGTTTTAGATTTGTAACCAAAACAGCGAGCATAAGGCACTAATGTTTTAGTTGTTCCTGAAAAGTACTTGCACAGCATCAAGAGCTCCTCTGTTTCTTGCTGTTTTCTCCTAGTGAATAGACTGGAGATGTGCAAGAGGTTAGGAGGGGACACAACCAGACAACTGACCTGAACTAATCAGAGTTACTCTTTGCCATACAAAAGTTGTGCTGAGCAATAAAGTGGAGAGGAGGGTGTTTAGGGAGGTTGGCCATCTTTTAATTGGGCACTTCCTTTTCTTCCACTTCTCCTTTGCTTGTCAATCTATTTTTACCTTGACCCACAAAATTCTGTGCTTTTTTTTCTATGATTCTTCTTTCCCTGGCATGCTGGGGAGGTGTGGTGGCAGTGAGCTGGTGGTTATATGGTGCTTAGCTGCCTACCAGGGTTGTCCTGCAACAATATGTTTAGGTAATTGGGATTGGAACTGAACAAAAAAACCATACAAGATTATTTAAATTTGTTTGTGTTATTTGATCATTCTACCTCTATAATTGTTTTCTGGTGTTCTGTAATACATACTTTTCCACTTGCTATTATGTGTTTAGAATTCAGACCAGCTCTTAAATACTAGTTTTCTTTCTTCTGCTTTGCAGGGGCACTCATTTCAGCAGTTCAAGAAGACATTGAAGAGGCAAAAAGACATCTGGATTTACCAGAACATCTTAAACTCAAAGAAGACAATTTCTTTCATCTGCCAGAAAGCAAAAGAGGAAACCACTAAGCAAAAAACCATATGGTTTTTTTTTAATCTCCTGGAGCTTTTTTCTTTGTAATACCAAGTGTCATGTATCATTTGATATATAATGTATGTGTATGTACTGGGTCTGGCTGGGATGGAGTTAATTTTATTTATAGCAGCTCATATGCTGCTGCGTTTTAGATTTGTAACCAAAACAGCGAGCATAAGGCACTAATGTTTTAGTTGTTCCTGAAAAGTACTTGCACAGCATCAAGAGCTCCTCTGTTTCTTGCTGTTTTCTCCTAGTGAATAGACTGGAGATGTGCAAGAGGTTAGGAGGGGACACAACCAGACAACTGACCTGAACTAATCAGAGTTACTCTTTGCCATACAAAAGTTGTGCTGAGCAATAAAGTGGAGAGGAGGGTGTTTAGGGAGGTTGGCCATCTTTTAATTGGGCACTTCCTTTTCTTCCACTTCTCCTTTGCTTGTCAATCTATTTTTACCTTGACCCACAAAATTCTGTGCTTTTTTTTCTATGATTCTTCTTTCCCTGGCATGCTGGGGAGGTGTGGTGGCAGTGAGCTGGTGGTTATATGGTGCTTAGCTGCCTACCAGGGTTGTCCTGCAACAATATGTTTAGGTAATTGGGATTGGAACTGAACAAAAAAACCATACAAGATTATTTAAATTTGTTTGTGTTATTTGATCATTTACCCAGTCATGCAAAAAGAGTAGAAGGCTGTTTTAGGTCTTTACTGAAAAATCATTAATTGAAATGTTACCCATCATTTATAAATCTTAGCACATGTGGAAGAAGAGCTTAGGTATTTGTGACCTCATATGCCCCTAATGTGTGGAGAATTAACATGCTTCAGTGAAGACTATCAGTATTTCAGACAGAGAATGTTATTCCAAACTCCCCAATTTTATGTCATTGTTACACCTGAATTGTAGACAGCAGCTTAGAAGATGTTTATACTGATTGAGTAAAAAATTTGCCTGTGGTACAGGAAACCAATGATTAGGTAACAGTAACAGGAATAATTCAGTCTAGATCCTAGTTTTGTTAAGTTATACAGATGCCATGGTTGTAGCTGTCATTTTAATTGGAATTATTTATTGTAATTTTAATTGAAATGAAGTGACTGTTACTCATTGAGTTACTGGTATGTGAGATAGATACTTCTGCCTAGTTGGCTATGCATTTCAGAAGACATAATTTGTGTAGTTGCCTTCTAAGGAAGAGTTGCAGTAATGCTCAAGAAGTGAATGACAGGGGGAAAACTGGTGCACTGCGTAAGTTCAGACTTATGTAGTCTGAACTCTAATATTCTATTATTTCTCTAATATTTCTGCTCCTTGGGCCCTAAGACAGAGGAAGAAAGGCAATTGCATTTTGGTTGCTTCTGCCAGCTCCCTTGAATGGTTAAAACTGGGTTGTTCACTATATCAACAGCGAAATGCATGACTTCAAGGTAGAAGTTAGAATGTGAAGCACAGAAAAATAATTTCAACTTTTTACACTAAGTGCAGGGAAAGCCAAACTTTTGGCTGCAGATCAGTTAAAATCTTTGGGGATTAAGTTATGGCAGTTGAAGTCCCTGGTTACTGGAAAAAGGGAAACATTACACAATTTTTAAAAGGGTAGAAATGAGGACCCTGGGAACTAATGACCTGTCAGCCTCACCTCCATGTTGGAGAAGATAACAGGTCCTCCCAGAAGCTATGGTCGGGTACATGGAGGACAGGGAGATGATTTGACACAGCCAGGGTGGATTTACGAAGGGCAAGTCCTGCCTGACCAACCCAGTGGCCCGCTGTGACAGAGTAACTACATCAGTGGACAAGGGAAGAGCTACAGATGTTTTTCAGTTTGGACTTCTGTAAGGCCTTTGACATGGTCCTCCACAACCTCCTTCTCTGTAAACTGGAAAGAGAGAGATCTGATGAGTGGGCTGTTTGCTGGGTGAGGAATTGATTGGATGGTCACATCCAGAGGGTGGTGGTCAGCAACTTAATGTCCAGATGAAGATAGGTGAAGCATAGAGCCCCTCAGGGATCCATACTGGAACCATTACCAATAACATAGATGGTGGGATTTAGTGCATTCTCAGCAAGTTTGCAGATGACACCAAGCTGAGTGGTATGGTTGACTCATCTGAGGGATAGGATGCCATCCAAAAGGACCTGAACAATCTCAAGAAGTGGGCCCATGTGAACTTCATGAGGTTCAACAAGGCCAAGTACAAGGTCCCACACTGTGTCAGGGCAATCCTTGGTATCAATATAAATGGGGGGGTAAGAGGATTGAGAGCAGCCCTGCTGAGAAGGACTTGGGAGTCCTGTTGGATGAGAAGCTGGACATGAGCTGGCAGTGTGCGCTTGCAGAGCAGAAAGCCAACCATATCCTGGACTGCATCAAAGGAAGCATGATCAGCAGGTCAAGGGAGGTGATTCTGGACCTCTACTTTGTTCTGGAGAGACCCCACCCAGAGCAGTGTGTCCAGCTCCAGCGTCCGCAGCACAGGAAAGACATGGAGCTGTTGGAGCAAGTACAGAGGAGGGCTGTGAAAATTATCAGAGAAGTGGGACACATCTCCTGTGAGGAAAGGCTGAGAGAGTTTGGGTTGTTTAGCCTAGAGAAGAGAAGGCTCTGTGCTGTATTATGGCATTTCAGTACTTCAGATGGGCTTAAAAGAAAGATAGGCACAAACATCTTAGCAGGGCCTTTAGTGAAAGGACAAGAGATAATGGTTTTAAACTAAAAGAAGGGAGATTTAGACTAGATACAAGGAAGTTTTTTATTATGAGGGCAGTGAAACAGTGGAACAGGTTGCCCAGAAGAGGTGGTAGATGCCCCATCCCTGTAAACATTCAAGGCCAGATTGGATAGGACTTTGAGCAACCTCATCAGGTTAAAGATGTCCCTGCTCACTGCAGAGGGGTAGGGCTAGATAACCTTGAATGCTACTATCTAATGAATAGTACTATCCAAAATTAATTTAATGGTTTATTTTTAAAACCATTATGCTTGAAGATAGAGGGCAGTAGCAAAAGAAAAACTTGAGAAATTTAGTTTGAGTACAACTCTCACCTTAATGTGGAGCATGTATACAGATAAGTAATTAACTGCTCTTTGCATTTTTGCCTTCAAGTTAAAGGAAACGTAATTGCGTTCATTCAGTTGAGTATACCTATCTCTGCCCATGATTTAATAACAAATATTGTATATTGTTTTTTAAGTCAAATACATTATTTTTATTTACAATAGGGGTTGTATTTTTGTATTATGTTACAAATAACTATTTCAATTTACGTTATGACATTGTACCATTAATAAAGGAATGTAACTGAGAAAGTAGTGAAGCTGCTTATTGCAGGTTTTCTGGTTGACTGTACTGTATGTGATACAAAACCTCTCTGTGTATTCCTTAGCATATATTGAAAGAGATGCTGTAGAGTGGGGGTTTACTGTAGAGTGTTTCATTACAGTGGTTAAATGTCTTTCATTTTCAGGAGTGGGGGAGACAATTGTTTTTGCTTACAAACTTGGTGCTACGTTGTTTATATTCAAGGTACTTTAAGTTATTTATTAGTAAGGCAGTATGTAAGCACCAGGTGGGGTGTAAAGGTCACTGAAATTGTTTGAGTTCAAGAAATAGAAGTGTTTCCACCATTTCAAATACTTTGAAAATAAAGCCTTAGGTGACTGCTTCTGAAGTCTGTTGCTGTTCTGAGGTGGACTTTGTTGACAGTGTGAGAATGAAAGTGTAAGGGTTTTTTCAAATTCATGTAGGTGACAATGGTCTTACTTGGGTAGTTTCAATGTTGAACTATCTGGTGTTCTAATACACTACAAAACCTGTGCTGAGCAGATGTTAAAGTGCAGCACACTCTCACATTTAGAAAAGGTAAAGGCACAATGTGCACAAAGAGTCTGCAATAGTTATTCATACAGGCTTCTTGTATGGCTAGCTATATTTTGAATTTGGAACCTTCCTAGAAACAAATGTGGAACCTATATTCAGTTGGTATCCTTTTTACTTTAGAGCAGATTCCTTGTGTATACAACATAAAGTTGTCAAAATCTACCTGAAAATAAAATCTAGCTTGCTCAAACTTGAA